CCTCACAGATGAAGAAAAAAAAGCGCATAGGAATCGATAGGCGGAATCAAAATTTTAATTTGACAACAAGTATCCATTCCTGACCTTAAGTATCCGATTCTGGAATCGGAATCGATTTTCGATTCCCAACCCTACTACTTGTAATGTAGGATAAGATTTTTTGTAATAAAGAAGTTGTAAACTGATGAATAAGGCTTACTAAGATAATAATATTAATAGATATAATAATAACAATAACAATAATCTCCAACAATCTATACTGATTTATAATTATTCATAATTTATGTTTTATAACAAATACTTGATGATGCTGAATACTTGCCATGTGTTTGGTAAAAAATATAATAACACACTACATTTATGAAATGGCCTAACAATAACTATTTGAAAAAATATATATATATTTTTTGCATTTAATTTAATTTATAATTTTTTAACGATTACTTGATGATACTGAATATTTGCCATGTGTTTGCTAAAAATATAACAACAAAACACATTTATGAAATGGCCTAACAATAACTATGAAAAACATATGGCTTTTTTGTGCCTTTCATTTAATTTTGGTGATTAGATGCATTAAACTACGTGGTGATTATGCCTCTGAATATTAGAATATTAAACTAAAGGTGAGTAAATTGTGCACATAGTGAACTATTTTTGGGAATATTAGGAATTGTGCACAGCAAGACTCAAAGACAGCAGGAGTTGTACACCATGTAAACATACACACTCATATATGACACATTTTGACCAGGGGTGAAAATGGAATGAATGATATTATAAGAGTGTGCTCTGATAGTGTGCTCTGATTGACAGTTACATGACTAAAAGAAGACTGTAATTTTCGATGCTGGCTTTTTAAACAGATACGATCAGTCTCAAAAAGGCACATTTGCACACCAATAATGCTTGCATCCATCCCATCTACTTTCCTTGTCACCTTTTTAATAGTGGTCATCATTTGTACCATACACTTTATGAGATATTATGTATAAAGATGAGCCTCAATTCCCTGGTTCACGTTTGAGACACCAAAATTGCTGGAAGAGGTGATAAATGACATTTACCAACATTCCTCCAAGCATTTAAGAATGAATAAAATAAAAACAATACGTCTCATGAGGCAAAAGCTGCTCATAGGAGAGTTTATGAATAATCTCATCCTCATGCTAGGCTTCATCTAATCACCTGCTTTAAAAACAGTGCAGTAATTTGCAAATTAAAAACAAATACTTTTAGTTACAGTAGATCTTTACAAGCATGTGCTTTGCATATCAGTATAGTAGCAAGCCAGCTTCTCATTTTGGCTCACATGTTTAAATATTCTTCCGTTTCAAATATCACTCCGGATTTAAATGAGTGCTAGTTAATTTAGTATAGAGTAGAGCCGCCTGTGGATCTATGCTAAGTTAAGACAAGGATGATTCATCCCCACTGTTATAAACGGTCCCACTGATATAAACAGTAGACAGGCATGTCTGGGTGGGGTATTTTTGTGCCTCTCTCCCTCAGGACCTGAACCCATCCCAGCTCACAGAACACTGAAAATATTTCTGTAATTAGCAGAAAGACATCACACACACCTCTGGCACATTTACAGCCCCCTGTTCCTATCTTTGGCACATCTGAGCAAAGAATGTTCAAAACACCTTTTTTTTTTATTCTTCTAGTAGTATTCATTATAAATAGAGTAGACATAACAATGTGATGTATAGCAACGGCAGAATTACGCAAATGCTGAAACTGTTACATAATTAATTAAATCAATGAAACTATGAAAAGTGCACAAAAAAAATTGATTTTACAAAATTGTTTTTTTAAATCCTAATCCCAGAACATAATAAACGTATTTCTGTCTTACTTTTAGCAGACAAATATACCAGTTTAATTTTTTTCATCCTTTTTATTTTATTTTATTTTGTTTGGATTTGATTTGATTTGATTTGAATAAGAAAGAAGGGTCTGTAGATGACATAAGCTGTAAAAGGTTAAAATAATAAAAATTTCTTATGATTTCAAGGAAACATTTGAAATATGTATTGGACATTATTTGAATAGAACAGGGTATTTATACACTGTAACCGATTTTTGTAATTTGAACAGTATTTTACTGTAATATGTACAGTGAGATACTGTAAAATGTGTATACAGTATCTTACTGTAAACAGCAAATGATTATGGGAAAATTTACGGTCACTACTGTATTTCCTCACTACTGTAAATCAATTTACAGTAGTGAACTTGCCCGCGAAAAACTGACCAATGGCAAGGGAGCTCTTTTGTTTGGTGGAAGTGGCCGTAAAAGGACAAAAGAGAAATGCACTGTTAACTCGACAAAAGGTTAGTATATTATTTCTGTTTTATGCAAAACTGCGATATTTTAAGATGTTTTCACTTGTTAACAGCAAACTAACATTATTCATCTTGTCATTTTTCATGTTGGGAGTTGGAGCCTTTTTTTCTGACTGACGGCCGGAATGCCGCCAAAAGGCTGATAACATCGACTGGTGAGTAAGTTAAGGTCACCTATATTGCTCGAAATAAACCTTAGTTAAACCGAGAAACACGTTTGTACGTTCTGCTGCCCTTTAATGCAAGTTAGCTCCTCTGGCGAGTCGTTATTTAACCTTAACAGCGAATTAACGTGAAATACTGAGGTAAAGTGCGTTAGGCAAACCACTGTTTCAGTGGAGATTTTAAACAGTATTTTCTAGTACTTCATTTGTTTGTTATTTTCAGATTTCTAGTCTGGATGTAGTCTGCAACGTCGGAGGTGTATTTTGGATCATATTCTTGTGAATGCCATAGTATCGATGATCACATCAACTGGTAAGTTAATAATGTCAGTTAGCCGAAGTTACCTAACTTAGTTGAACAAAGCGAAGCATAGTACGTTATCTTCTCTACTCTGCCTCTTTATCGCAAGTAAGGTAATTCTCTTCAAATGCTATTTAAGTCAGAAAGTGTGTACCAACGTCGTAGTTAACAAAAATTAAAACCATAAAATAAAAAATAAATGTTTTTATGTGAAATACAATAAATATTAGCTGAAATAAAAATATTACACAATTCTTTTATTTCAGTTAGTGGCTGAGACTTTTCTTATTTTCATTTAATTTTACTTGATGTACTAAAATAACTAAAACTAAAACTGAAATAAAAAAGGAATAAAAACTAAATAGACAATTTAAAAATAATTATAATAATTAAATAAAACTTTAACTGGAATTAAAATGAAGACAGAAAATGTAAAAATGAAAACTAATTCACAATATTAAACAAAAACAGTATCTCAATGATACTAAAATATCACTAAAACAGAATAGTTTAATACAAAAAAAGACACTATGCATTGTAAAAAAAGTACTATATGTCTAACTTCACTTGAGCCTTTGGGCATCAGTTTTCAGAGCAACACTTCACAGTGGAAATTCATGCCAGTGTGCAACTCCTGCCTGGCTGACCCCACAGCCGTGTGTGAAATGTGACACGGCCCTTGGTTTCCCCTTCAAGAGGTGCTTTTACCAAGTGGATGAGTTATGGACTGGCGAGTATGGGCTGTGTGGGCCAGAATAGGTAATGGGTGGGGGTAGAGTAGGGGTAACATACAGTAGGGTGAGACAGTCAGCTTGAGAGAGAGACAGACAGACAGGACCCTTCTTTAGACAGGAGCCCCGGCCGGCGCAGCTGTCCCTAGCATTCCTGGCGTGTTACCAGTCCACAGATTGGAGAATTAAAAGGGACTAGAGACTGTGGGGCCATTCTGACATTTTTCCTTTGGTTGCTGACTTAGTTTGCTTTACTCTTCTTCCTTCGGACACTTCTGCATTACATCAACCCGACCAGTCTTGGGCCAGAGGCCCCCAATATGGCGGACCAGTATAACACCAATGAGGAGAAAATTCTGAAAGATAG